CCCGGGAGGAGGGCGCCCGAGGAGAGAGGAGGGCGGGCGGCGGAGGGAGCGGGAGGCGAGCGGCGCGCGAGGAAGCTTAGGGAGCGACGGGCGCGGCGGGCCAGGATGGATTTCCAGCAGCTGGCTGACGTTGCGGAGAAATGGTGTTCCAACACGCCCTTCGAGCTCATCGCCACCGAGGAGACCGAGCGCAGGATGGATTTCTACGCCGACCCCGGCGTCTCCTTCTACGTGCTGTGCCCGGACAACGGCTGCGGGGACAATTTTGTGAGTGCCTGGGGAGGGACCTCCGCAACCCGCGGGAGTGTGGACTCGCGGCCGCTTCCCTGCCCCCGAGCTCCCGCTCGTTGGGGAGGCTGTGGGGCGCGAGGTGGGTGGGGGCGTAACCGGCCGGCCGCCACACACCCCGCTATTCCGTGCGCCGCCGGGGGAGTCCCTGGGCCCAGCGCGTTGGGATCAGCGCTCCGGGTGGGTATGGGTAGGCGACAGGCAAGGGCGCCCTTAGGAATCTGGGGAGCCAGGCTAGGGCGGGCTGTTCCGGGGACGCGACCCACCGGCCCCAGCGCAGTGCTCGGCTTGGAGCATCCCCGGAGATGTCCCCGCCCGGCACCAGCCCGGGCCAGGGCGCACGGACCCGGGCACTCGGACCCCTTCCAGCTGGATCTGGAGTCGGGAGCTTCCTACACCCAGGCGTCCCGTCCGAGTGAGGAATCCCATTACCCTCCAAATGCACAGACACAACTCCTCCATCCCCTCCCCCCGTTATTCCCTGCGCTGTTTGGACACAAAGCCTCTGTCCACACTAGCGATGCCCCATCTCCTGGACCTTCTTTGCGGAATTACACCCCGGATCTTAAAAACGCACGCGCGCGTGCGCATACACACACACACACACACACACACACACACACACAGACACACACCATACAGGCACGCCTATCCCCGTTTCCTCCTGTGCTTCCATTGCTCCTCTGTGAGCTTCCAACGAGGTGTGTGGAACCTGAGCGGTTTTGTGCAGCTGAGGCTGCAGCCGCGGCCCTGGCAAAGCCCTTTGGCTTTTCCAGATGAGGGGGACTTCTCCCTCACCACCCCACCCCACCCCCGCCCCTCTCCGGGCTCTCGGAGGGTCCGGGACCTGGGACTGTGGTGTCCAAATCTCCGACTTTGCATCCTGCGCCCACTTGGAATCTTGGCACTGGCAGTTTAGGAAGGGGATGTAAAGAGCGGGGGAGTTGGGGTGGGACGTGCAGAGACTGGCCGAGGATGGCGCTCCATGAAGTGTTTGTAAGGACGGGAAAAAATAATGGTCCCAAATGTAAGATGGAGGCGGCTGTGGGCTCAGGTTACCGGCCTGAGCCTGGAGCTGGCGCTGCTGCCGCCCCTGCGGACAGAGGTGGGGCAGCGACCAGGCGCGGCCTGGAGCTGGCTCCTCAGGTGGGGTGAGACAAAGCTGGGCCGAGATCCAGGCCGTCGCGCTCCCCTACCACCTACTGGAAGTTCGCGAAGGAGTTGGAGAGAGGACACGATAGTCCTTCTTGGCCTTGGAGAGAGGTTTCTTTATGACTTGCTGATAAACCGTGCCCCTCCCACCACCTCCACTCCACCCTGCAAAGGTGAAGAACCCACCTGGCCCCAGCCCTGACACACTCCAGAAGAGGGAAGGCCTTGGGTTGCAGCCCAGATTTGAGTTCTGGCTCTGTGACTCTGGTCAAATGCCTTTTAATGCTTTCCACACACAGTAAGGGCCCCACAAATGTGGGTCAGAGATCTGGGGTTCCCCAGAGTTTAGAGCTTGTCTCTTTTTTAAGAGCCTGAATTTCTCACCTGTAAAATGAGGTTAATCAGAATGCCTTTATCATAGGTACTTGTGAAGAGCAAGTAAGCTATAAATATATGTAAAGAACACTGCTAACTGAAGTTAAAAGAAGTAAGTATTGTCTGTTATTGGGAGGAGGGGGAAATCGTTAAAAAGTGATTCTACTCCATTGTAGAAGTGTGAGTAAGCGCCAGGGTCATAGTGAAAAGGGCACCAGGGTCCAACTGCTGCAGTGTTAGGGTCTGATTAGGAGTCCTTGCGAGCCCTGGGCTTCCTTGGTCTGCCAGAGGCCTTTCCCCCTCCTTATTGTGTGTGATGGGGCAAGAATCACTCATGGTTCCCAATTTTATGGGGTAGAGTTCCACACAACCTTCCTGTTGGCACTGAAGGAGACATTTCCAAAGAAGTTTCTCCAAGGACAATAAGTGGGTGGAGAAAAGCAAGGCTATTCTCCTGCCTTGAATATGTTTATCAGACCATCATTCAGAAAACATGAAATATATCAGGCTCTTTTCAAGGCCACTCATATTGTATTTTAAGTGTTTATCCACCTGTATGAGTAAAATGCTTGAACGTATTTCTTTTGAAAGTATTCATTCACTGACAACGAAATGAAATAGGAAAGAAAGAAAACAGTGGGGAGGGAAGTAATTCGTTGGGTAGACTGGAACTTTTTCCATTTCTGGAGGCCATAATGGACAAGATGCCAACCAATGGAGTTTTCCTAGCCCCAGACCTCTGCTCGAATCTGTCCCAGGCCAGATTTGTCAAGCTGCTGTTTGCCTCTAGTTAAAAGAACTCAGACATGAAGTAAATGTCCTACCTCTGTTCTTTTCCTTTTCCCAGGAAAATCTGCAAAGCATTAGAAGAAATTTGAGAGGACTGGAATCCCTGTAATCTGAAGGATTTGTTAACAATAAGAATATTTCCATAAGCATTTCTCAATTTATAAAGTGTTTTTTTAATCATTGATTCATTCATTTATTGAGGGCTCACTCTGCACCAGGCTGGGGCTGCCTGGAATGGAGCCATTCTTCTCATCTAAGAGGCAGTGTGGTATAATATATAGTCAGAGGCACAGGCTCTGACGTCAGGCTACTCCAGCTCCTCACTTCTAACTTTGTGCCTTGGGGGAAGTTATTTAACCCTTCTTTGCCGTGTCTGTAAATTGGGAATGATGTTAGTACCTCTCTAGCAGACTTTGAGAATAGTGCCTTAAGTGGGGGCGATGATATTAGTGACTCCCTGGCGGCGTCTCCACACAGCAGTCTCTGTGGATCTATTTAAAATACAACCTAGGTCATGTTCTACCTCTCTTGAACTGACTTCCCATCACTTTTACGTAAAACCTAAGCTCTCATCCTAGCTTCAAGCCCCTACATGATCTGTCTCCTGCCATCTCTCTGACCTCATCCTGGACCATCCCTCTCTCTTGCTTACTATGTTCCTGCCACACTGGTCTTTCTGGTCTTCAGACAAGCCAAGCTCATCCCTGCCTTAGAGCTGTTACATTTGCTATTCCCTCTGCTTTAAACACTTCCTGCCACATCTTTACACAGTCTCCTTTATGCCATCGAGGCCTGGAAGAAACCTTCCTGACCACATACTCCTTCACCTTCATTCTTATCATAGCATTCATTAGTACTTGATAGTCCTTTATTTATTTCTGCCTCCCCAGCTAGACTGTAAGCTTCATGAGAACTTGCCTTATTCATCACCCTTTCCCAGCATTTGGAACAGTGTCAGACATGTAATAGGCACTCAATCCATGTTTGTAAGAATGAACAAACAACAGTCTAGTGTAGAAGAAAGAATTTAAATTTCAAGAATGACAGCTTCAAAGACAACTACCACTTAAGTGCAATTTACCATATATCAGACTTTGCACATCTGAACTCATTTAATCTTAGTAATCCCACAAGCTACTCTGTAAAATTACCTCCACTTTACAGATGAGAACACTAAGGTTTACTAACTTCCTACAGCTAATAAGTGGTAGAGCAACTTGAACCATAGCCCTGTCCTGAATACATAGTATCACAGGAGTGACAGCACGGGACCCAATTCAGACTGTGGGTTCAAGGGCCACTTCTTACTGAGCCTCACAAAAATTCTGTAAGATGAGTATTGTTATCCGCATTTTATAGGTGAGGAGAATGAGGCTGATGAGTTTAAGTGGCTCATCCAGGACTATGCTACTGAGAAGTGACAGCTGGCACTTGATCCCAGGCCCAGAGAGCTGCCCCTTCCCCAGGCAGAATGTCCCACAGGCAGGCTCCTGTCAGGAGCTCCAGGGGCCTAGGAACAAGTACTTCACCACAACCCCACAACCCCGCCGCCGGCAGCTCCTGGCTCCCTTTTGCACTCTTTCCCCTTCTTGCTTCACAGGCCATCCCATTCCTGCCGTCCCTTTCCAAACTGCCGTCCTGATTCAGGCCCCTCTCCATGGACGGCCACTGAGGTCAGGCCCTGGGATAAAATGCTGCCAGTGCCCTGTGTGTGCTGGGAGCTAGGGGCGGGGCTACCCTGCCTGGGTCTACAGGTGGGAGGGGGCGGAAAGCTCACAGACTGGCACGCTCCCCTCCTCTGCCAACTCGGAAGGTCCTGAGGGCTCGGTCAGGCCTGAGGAGCGGGGTGTTGGCAGCCACCAACATGCCAGATGGACAGAGGGGCACGTGCCCCTGGGAATGGCAGCACCAGCTGCTTTCCCTCCTTGCCTAGACCAGGAGAAGGGAGCTCTCTGAACAAGGAGCATTGCCCTGGCCCTCCCTGGTGCCTGGGCACTACTGATGGGAAGGGGGGCACTCCCTTACTGTCCTCCCAACCATCAACAGCATGCTCAGATCTACAATTTTGTATAGTTTAATCCCTCCTCAGTGCAAAAACAAAGATAGCAGTTGTCAGAGTATTAAAGAAAAATGTTTTATTTATAGAAGGACTATGCAGTTTAATTTTGTATGTGTGCCTATGTCTGTGTCTCTCCCTCTATTTATGTATTTTTCCCCTAGGTATGTCTCTGTTCTTAACTATGTGACTAAATAACAACCTTTACATTTTGGAGAAAGAATATGTAACTTGTTTGATTGCATCATGTTTATATGGTGATATGCTGGAGAGAAGGCATTGTCTTGTCCAATTTAAACTCTATCCTCAGTTTCCTCATCTATCAAAGAGGGATAATCGTACCTACATCACATTGTTACTGTGAAGATTAAAGAGGGAGTAGTGGTAGACTGACGCTTTCCACGGTGGCTGTGTATTATTCATATAGAGAGATGGTTTCAGGGAAAAGATACATCCTTTGTATATTCATTGAGTGGTAATCCTGAGGAGAATAAAATTGTGCTAATATTCAAATAGATGGGAATCAGCATTTATTGGGCCCCTGCTAAATGAGAGGCAGTCTACAGATTATTTCCTGGAATCTTTATATCCACCCTGTGGGTATTATTATTTTCTGTGACATACAAAGGCAGGAGCTGACGCTCAGATTGAAGGCATGACACCTCTCTTGACATCCTGCCTTCCCCCACTGCTCCCTGTGTAACCACAGACAAGTTGCTTAACCTCTCTGAGCTTCAGTTTCCACCTTGGTAAAAACAGGTCCTTGTTTGACACCAGCGCAGGTTATAGGATCAGCCAGCCATGCTCTTCCCTCCCTGTGCAGACGTATGTTGGGCGGCATGGGATGGCGTGTAGCTCTTATCCTTTTCTGCCACCTCTTCTGTGGACAGCAGCAAGTTAAGCCAGTGAAGCCGCACCAACTTAAAATGAACTCCCCGGTACTGCCAACAGCAGAAAACCCACATAGTGAGAGGGAGGCCATTGGCAATGGCCCTTTGACGCAGATAACAGAGTCCTGGGAGGAGAACGGGTATGTTCCTAGCTCCCCTGCCACCCACTACTCTGCCTAAGCACCAAGAAGTTGTGCCTTTCCCCGAAGTGTGAGAACAGTGGGAGCACACAGACTGCTCAAAAAGATATCTGTAGGGTTGAATTACCCTAATGACCTAATACCATTTTTGGACAAGCTGGATAATCTCACCTACCCCTCAGAAAACAGGAAGGTACTCATTTTCCTATTTGCAGATGACATTGTTACATTGTCTGAAGCCAGGCAAGCTTTGATAATAAACTCTGACCCAACTTAATAACAGAAAGAAGGGCCACAGGTGGTGCCTGTTCTGAAATCAGAGTTCTCCCTGGGGATTTTCAACTCCAAGCGAGCAGGAATCTATAGCAGGGTAGGCTGCTTAGGGTCGGTACCAGGCGGGCCACTTCGCTGCAACCGATGCCATTCTGAGATTTGGAGTTTGTTTTAGTCAATAATGATATTAAGATTTTTTAATGTGATGCTCATCTGCTATCCCCCACCCCCAAATATGCAGTTAGTCGAAGTTCCGTTCTGGCTCTGGTTCTCAAAGGGTGGTCCCAGCCAGCCGCATAAGTGTCACCTGGGGACTTGTTGGAAATGCAAATTTGCAGCCCCACCCTCATCAGGAACTCCGGGGTGGGACCCAGCGATTGTATCTTAGTAAGTCTCCAGGTGATTGTTATGCAGGCTAGCTAAAGCTTCAGACAACTGCTCTCCCCTCCTTTTGAAGCCTTTCCTTGACGTAACAGGCCAGGTCTGTGATCTGCCTTTGCTCTAACTACCCTATTGGAACAATACATTGTGTACCCAGATTTGTATTTGCCAGGGAGTTACATTGTTCAGAGCCACAGGTTCTATGACCCCTGCTGTAGTTTTTTTCATGGTCAGAGTGGGTGTTTGGTTGCACATGCTTAAAATATTTTCCAAGTTGAAGGCCTTGTGGCCACGCCCTGTGGTGCAGGACTCTGGGTCTTCAAGTGCCCATTTGTCTGTGCAAGACTAGAGCCCAGATCCTGTATTCCCCAGCTTGAGCCCAGCCATCACATGTTCTCTCTGCCCTTCCCTGACTTTGGAATGGCCTCTCTAGTTTTCCTAAGGGTTAACCATCCTGCCCCAGTTCCTTGCCTGTTTGAAGAGCTGGTCTGTCTTCTGTGTGGGCACAGCCTTGGGCACTGATGGTGTGTCTTTCTTTGCTTGGGCCTCTGGAAACAGTGGAGGCAAATCTGTGTCCCAGGCTTGTTTACCTGGCACTGTTTGCCCTAATCTCACTTGGTTTTTTCTTATTCTCCTTCTGTTGTTTCCGCTCTGTCCTTATTTTCCCAACTGCAGGCTTAGTTTTTAGTTCATCTTGTCTTGTCGTCTATGAATCTTTCTGACTGCCTCGATTCATTTTGGGAGGGGGCAGTTTCAATAAATAAAACTGAACGCCTTTTGTTATGAGATACAATGAATATGAAACAATGAGCGTTTAGTAAGTGATGTCTTTTAAGCGGCCATGTATACCTGGGTCTGTCTGATTCCAAACCTCTTGCTCCCTCACATTATCATATGGGCAGGGATTCAGTTAAAACTGTTGTTAAAAACCACAAAACCAACCCGACTGGGAACTCGGGTTGAGTTAGACAGCCAAGTGAAGGAAATTTAGGCAGACTGGGCAGAAGGCCCTTTGGCAGGTGTTAAGTCTTTCTTCTCTGATATATTCATAAATCAACAATTCCAAAAGAGGAGTAATGAAAATTGTGGCATGAATAATCTCCTCATGAGGTTAGAGATGCCCTAGAAACACTTAACCTAAAGAAACTGGTTACTAGGCTGTGATAGATACACTGCAATGCTGTTATTGTTTGACTGATACACTTTCCATCATTTACTTTTTAATTTGAAGTACTTTTTTTTTTTTTAAAATGCACTTAGAAAAGGCATACAGGGTTTTCATAGATACACCTGCTTCTGAATTAACAATAACCCAAGTTGCCTTGCATAGTGTCCTCGTGAAGTCACACAGGGTGTCTGATGTAACCCTGTGGCAGATGGAAAGCACCCACTCTCATCCTCCTGCAGATGCAAAAAGGGAAATAGGGGACTTATGTCCACCATTCATTCAGTATCTGCAATTTACCAGCCAGTCACTGTAGCAGGCACTTTTTAAACTTTTTACTTTTCCTCTAATCTTCACAACAAGTCTAGGGAAGGCAGGCTTAAAATTTTCTGTTGTGTGGTGCTAGATGTTAAGCCCATCTCTTACTTGGATAAGAATTTAAAATATGCCAGAACATTTAAAAATTTGAATTTGAAAATGGGTGCTGGGCAGAACTTTTATTAAAGTGGACTTTATTGTTCTTGCTGAATCCCCACTGATTAAGAGTCAAGTGCGATAATGGATGTAAAAGCGCTTTGTACTATGAGACTTTTGTGCATAAATGGCATTTCAGTGGCTCGACAACTTAAAGGGTCTCTAATTAATAGGGAATCGTGTTTGAGCTATTCTTTAAAGTTGGAGAATCTAGAAGCCAATTCTACTAGGTCGAGGTGGAAGCTACTCTAGAAGTTTGCTAGAATTAGAGCAGCAAGTGTCAGAAATGGACCTTCATATCTGTGACACGCAGATAATTGGGGTGTAAAGATGTCACATTAGCACCTAGTTACTCTCTCTGGGATCAGAGCAGTGTTTTAAGTCTTTCTAGTTCTTGGAGAGCCTACAGTGAGAAGGAAGGAGGTGAAATGTGTTTACTGAGTGTCGGGCATGTAACTTTCTGGAGTGAGACTCTAATCATTTGTATTAATAGAAGAGGGCAGGTGTCTACTTGACATAAACTGTTTCACCAGATTGACCTTGTCTCTTGCTGCCTAGTCCCTGCTCTCAACTGCCAAATATCTTCCTCTCCTCTACACTTTTTTCACCAGTGTTGAGTTGTCACTGATCGGTCCCCTCTAAACAGCGATTCTTGGTGCCTAAAACCTGATGTTATCCTGGTAGCTCAATGCCCCTCGCTTGCTCAGATATGCACAGAAGGGGCTTCTGCATCTAGATCTCTCAAGCCTGTTTCTTGGGCTTATTCCAGATCCTTGAACATTTATGGGAGAGACCAGCCTAGCCTTAAAGATGTGCGAAAATGGACATCCTTGTGTGGGAGAAGACACTTGTACAGCCCTAAGAAAAAGCAAAGCCTAAATCAGTCTCCTCTTGGTGCATCTTAACATGGCAAAGTGGTGATTGGGTATGATGCCCTCCTGAAGCATTTAGAGGGAAAGTGAGCTTTCAGAAAGCCTTTGTTTCCCAACGACTTAGCAATGACTTTTCTGTATGTTCTCCTAAATTCATTTCATTTTGAAGTAAATTTACTATCACCCCCACTCACTAGCTAATCTGGGTAAAGAATGTCTCCAAGTTTTCAGCTACAGACTGTGCCTGATTAATCTCTCAGCCATAGCTGAAGGCAAAGGTAAGGATTATGCAGGCTCTTGGCTTCTCTTCCTCCTGTTTTATAACCACTCTTGGCCTGCACCATGAGGTGGAGCAGTGGAGGTCATGGGTTGGGGGAATATTGATCCCACTGCCCTTTTTACTTCGAGGGAGCAGATCTGATGGAGAATTGAGCAGGTGAGCTTATGGAGCAGAAGCATGGGGATTTTCTGCAGGGTATGCATATTCGGATCTCTTTCCATGCAAACAAATCGAGAATGACTATATGGATTTAACTCTGGAATGGAGTCCTTCTTCAAATTCATGCAATTAAAAAAAAAAAGTCTTCTTGGCTTTGTGTATTTCAAACTGACTGTGTGTCTTTGTTTTCTCCTTTCCCTTGCCGGTGGGCACGTAGCACGTGTGGAGTGAGAGCGAGGACTGCCTGCCTTTTTTGCAGCTAGCACAGGATTACATCTCCTCCTGCGGCAAGAAGACGCTCCACGAAGTCTTGGAAAAAGTCTTCAAGTCTTTCAGACCTGTAGGTGCCTGCTTGGCTTCTAAAGCTGTCTTGTTGTCTCCAGTGATTGTGCTTTGAATAACATGGATGGTGGGGAAAGTGGGCAAACCCTGGGATGACTAATTGTTTTTCTCTTGTCTGCCCTGTGGCTTAAAGATAGCAGCTAGTGGAGGGAGGCTGAGGGCGGAGAGGGAGGGCGAGACGGGATGTGACACAGCTGTTTGTTGCAGGGATGATGGTTATTTCTAGCATCACTTGAGTTAAGACTCTCTGATTGGGTGGAAGCAAACAGAGCCTTTATGAGACAACTGAGTATTCTGCTTCTTGTCCAGTAGACGCAAAACCAAACTGCCTGGAAGTGCAATGGAAGCTCTCTTAGATTAGGAAATTGCCAGAGGGCTAATTAAAGGATGTACCTTCGTGTCTGAGGATATGGAGAAGGAGGAACCTGGGTACTGGTTCTATTCTTTTCTCTTTTTATGAAGTCTCTTATAGAGAGCTTGCTTCCCCCCAGCCCCTTAGGATTCAGGCATCTGTATGTCTGTGATTAGCTGACAGTTTGTTTCATTCTAGCTGAAAAAACATGTAACATGAATAGTCACCCCTATTTTGAAGACTGCCTGTCTCCCTTTTTCTTTATTGGACAATAAAGTCAGATTGTGTGACACTTCCCCCAAGTTTAGTTCCCTTCCCACCATAAATACTCTGCATGTTCAATGTTATTTGTGCTAGAATTTCTTTTTTTTTTCAAATCTTTCAAAATAGTATCTGCTTCCTTCCTGAAATTTTCCAGTTTGTCTTTTATTTCTCTGAACATGGTAGGCTTGGTTGCATAACAGACTCTCAGATATTCCAGTATTTCAAAGTTTGTGAGTCTGTCTGTTATCTTTTGTTTCCACTGGTTCTCACCCCTGGTGTCTTCTTTCTTTGTGTGTTGGATTATCTCTACGTGCTTGAAAATTTGTTTATTTGTATTTGAAAATTTATATATAGCAACAGATTGAGGCCTAAGATGATAGTACCTTCTTCCAGAGAGGATTTTTATTTGGTTCTGCCAGGGCTGGGGGACCCTGTCAGTGTGAGACCACCTTCAAACAATCTGAGTCTTGTGGTTCTTAGAACCCTTCAGGTGATGGAAAGCCAGGCTGCAGGCCTGGTTTCTTCTAGTTCATCCCTGTCCTGAGAGCTCTCTTGGTCTGTTCAGGCTCTTACAACAAAATACCATAGACTGGGTGGCTTATAAACAATAAAAATTTATTTGCA